CCCGGTAATCTTGTGCGCTTTGATTAGGTGTTAAATAACAGCTCATTATTTTCGTCCCACCGCTCCTTATCCAGACAAACCCATTTCCCGCTCCATGATCCTCTACTAGCATTCTCCCAGTGTTTACTACCTAAATATCCGCCGTATTAGTTTTGTCTGGGAACCAGCCCCTGTCGGCTTTGTTCTGGTATTGCTCGCTAATTATTAGTACATCACTTCGTTTTTCTCTAATCATCTGTGTCAGTAGCTCATCAGCTTTTCTACTCCTGTGTAAGTTTCCTTGCAAAATCCTGATCATCTTTTCCTCCCTTTAATCTGCTCGAGTTCTCTCCGAAAAGCGTTACAACTTCCCGATCGGGACACATGGTCCGTTCTTTTTTCTTTTGCTTCCTCACACAGGATGCATTTCGGCTCCCGCACACAATTTTTTGCTCTGTGACCCACCCGTCCGCATTTATAGCACAAATCTCCTCTATCCGGTGCCCTACAATACCTCTTAATATGTCCAAAACTAAGCACCTGTAGCATCGCACAACCTCCCCTCTTTGTCTTATTCTGCAATTGATCCATCCAATTCTAATTTTTGGCATTGTACATAGCTTTACAGCCTCCTTCTCATCGAGTTCTATGATTGCCATCCTTTGCTCCCTCCCGTCCGGCCTAGTGAGGGAAAGCTTGCATTCTGCAATGCCACCCAGGCTTCTCCTAAGTACAGCTTTAACCTCATCCTCTGTTGTCGAGCAGTCCAAATCTCGTATTTCTACCGTTCCTTTTGCCTTAAGCCCCTTTACATTTTCCGTCTGTCCTAGTGTTTCTTGAAGTTCCCGGGCAAATTCATCTTTGTTTCCATTTCCCATTTTCAAAAGTAAGTCTCCCTTTTGCGTTCTTCGGATGCCCCTTATCACCATTTCCGTTCTTTGTGGGTTGACCCGTTCTTTAATTTCCTTTAAAATCTCAGCGTATGTTTTCCCTGTGTTAGGCTTAATAAGTACTGCCTCCACCCGTGTTCTTTGTTGTCTCCTAGGCTTATTCGGCTTCTTTAATGTACCTTCACTTTTCTTGCTACTCCGTTGACTGCTAGCGATCTCACTTTTCTATATGGTGTTGTGCAGCAAACCGGTATTATTATTATAGTAATAATAATAATAATAATAAAATGATAATAATAATAATAAAAAAAATAATAATAATAATAACAATAATAATGAAAATAATATTAAAAATAATAATAATAATAATAATAATAATAATAATAATAATAATAATAATAATAATAATAATAATAATAATAATAATAATAATAATAATCATAATAATAATAATAATAATAATAATAATAATAATAATAATAATAATAATAATAAAAATAATAATAAAAATAATAATAATAATGATAATTATAATAATAATAATAACCGTTATATGGTTGAAAAGACGGCGCAGTCGATGACTGCAGTGCTTTGCGTGTCTTGGTATAACGGGTTCTCTAAGGACGTATCAAATGGTCGCGATGGAAGCTCATTTGGGTACAGCCCCGTTTCGTGTTCATCTTAAGGGGGAGGCGGATAAAGCAATACAGGTATCTTGAGCCCCTTAAATGAGGCCTCGCACTCACACTGCGGCCTGTGAGTGCGAGGTGGTGGCATATTGACCCCGATAGAAATCTAGCGGGTTGATGTGGCTGCTATATTGCAATTTTTCCAATGTCTGGTTATAAGGTTAATATAGATGAGGATTGTAGCCGCAAAAGATCCTTTACTATGCTATTTATAGCAAATTTTTAATTTGGATTTAGCGTTTCTTAGGTTACTTTTGTTTCATTTTTAGACAACGAATAAATTCCATGCACTTTTACAAAGATTTAACGTCAAAAAATATTTGTATACAATTTTGTATGTGTCAGTAAAAGCCTCCTTAGAAAACTAACATTGAACGCATAATTCATTTCTTCAAATACAGTCGTCGCAAAAATTTTTTTGCATAGACCAATGGTTATAAGTATTGGTTTTATTTATTAGCTGCAATTTAGTAAAAAATATAAATAATTATATCAATTTTCAAATATAAGGGGACTCGCTAAGGAGTACAATATTATACATCATTGATTAGAGCATCAAAAATGGGTAAAAGTTTTGTTCGGAACTAGCTGTCATTTCGGAGATAAAGTGATTTTAACGAATTTTCACGAAAATTTTACTTTCCCAAGTTTTTTTACTTTTAACTTCCCTTGTGAAGAAGGTAGAGGCTCCAAATTAACAGTTTCTGAAAGGACTAGTATAGGGCTTGAAAGCAACATACTTCTTGATTTTGTATTCTGCATACTTTTGGACTATAAAACATTCGAACTTTGGAAAAGCATTTGAAAATTGAAAAAAACCATTTTGGATTTTTTCAATTTTCTTCATTCCAACAATTTTGAGTAAACATTTTAAAAATTTTCAAGTTTTTTTTGTTACAGAATTTTGGTAACTTTATTAAGCTCTAATTTAAGTCCTCAAGCGTTAAAAAATCATTTATGACGCAGGAGATATAGCACAAAAACAATTTTTATGTCAAGATTTTAAGGGCCCTAATATTATGTAAAATATCAAAAAATTGTCACCATTTCCAAATTTTACTGATTTTAAGTGCTGTGATGGTTAATTAATTTTAATTTTTTATCACAATAGTTACTTTGAAAAGCGGTTGACATTTTTAAAAACCGTTGTTTTGGTAAAAAATATAAGATTTTAAGATTTACACAAATTTAATTAAGATTTTGAAATACGCAAATTTAAGAGGAAATTCTCCATGTTTTTCGCTTTTTTCCAGCTTGTTGGTTAACATGAAAAATTACTTTTTAGCACTTTTCCAAAAATTTTTTGAAAAAAAAGTGCTTATTAGTTTCACTCTGTCCGTGGACATGTTTACCAAACTCATACACCCTTGAAGATAGAAAGCTGAAATTTCATATGTGCATAAATCTATACTAGAAACGTATTTTCATTGAACAAAATATTTACCTATCTCACCCTCTCTAAAAGTTATGCCCAAAACCCTAAAAATGCCATTTTTTAACTATTTATTCCAGTGAAACCATAAGCATTTTTCAAATTTTCCAAACGCAGAAAGGCAGTGGCTTGCTTCTCCTATAGCAGCATACTGTATTTAAATTTTAGAAAAACAAAGTGGCCGTTCAAATTAACCATTATCTAAAATCCGTTTTTTCCAAATTTTTGACGTCGTTTTTCTTCTAGACGCCAGATTGTAGAAGCCTGAAATTTTAGCAGCTTTTAGATACTAATAAATGGTTTATTTCGTTGGAAGAAAATTTTTTTCCATCTCCACCCCCTCTCAACTTATCGCCTCTTAAAGTTAGTAAAATTTGAATTTTTGACGCTTTGTATTTCCGAAATCGCAAGCTTTTTCAAATTTATGTAAACATAAAAAGCTAACGGTATATTCTGTGACATTAAAAAATACGATTATTTTTCTTAACTCACGCAGTTAAGTCTGAAAATCGAGCATTATGTTAAGCGCTCTTTAAATTAATTTTTGCTTTATTTCAAAGACTGCATAAATCGTTCATCCTGAATATATGCAATCCTAGAAATAGTTTCGTTTATGAATGAAAATATTTTTAATAGTGTGGTAGATATACTATACTAGTAGTATTTCCACGAATTGTTGAAGGGAAAAGTGCTACATAAAAAATTTCCCTTAGATTATTTTTGAAATAATGTATTTTTAAATTTTCTTATTTTTAAATATCTAAAATTAATTGTTGAAATGAAAGTATGGTTTCAATATATATTTTCTTTTTTTTTGTATAAAAGAATAAATAGAAAACAGTATAAAAAACATTCTCAATTATGTAATTCGACCAGGTATTGCAACCGTCTAATTAATTCGCATATCTTAATTTTCGGTTGAAAGAAATTTCAAATCCAGGCATAATATGTAATTGTGATAAATTGTTCAAATGTTCGTATGTATGGCTTAAATAACATTCAATTAAGTACTTTTGCTCATATGTTAAGTACTTTTGCAATTTAAAAATGAAATATAATATGAGATTAATTACATTATGCGTCAAAATGCTGTCGTACAAATACTTACCACAGAATATTTTACATTCAATTAGGTAATATAAGAAAAGAAAAAATTATTTATAATGTGAAATGGAAAGTTTAATTTAAGTTTTATTTTAGTTCTATATCAGGTATTGAAATGAAGTGAAATTGTTTCATATAATATATTGCAACTTGCGATGCATTGAAACAACAGATACGGTGAGACAACATGATAAACATAGACCACACAGGCAAGTAAAGGAGGCTGAGCATACTTTAATTAATATAAATAATCTTGTTCTTAAATATCTGAAATTATTTGTTGAAATAAAAGTATGTGACACAATTATGTCATTTACTTTTTAAAATATTTAAACTTTAGTTTACACTTTTAACTGGTCTTCCTTAGAGGCGTTTTCAACAAAATATGAGGAATAAACGTATTCTTTAGGCAAACTAAAGTTATATTATCTCATGTTATAGATTGAATAAACACTCTTGTTAAGTGGCCTTCTCAACATTAACTTATGTCCATTATTAATGAAAAGCCCATTTCGAATACGAGATTTAGTGTAACTGTTTTAGTGTATACTGTTTTAGTGTAACAATACAACGAACATTTTGTGTAAACGTAGGTTTGAAAGTTGACGAAAATTTCAAACGCATGTCTGCTTTCTCAAACGAAACCTGCGCATTTTAGTTCTCACAGTAAATTTATTTTTTGTTTTTAAGGAGTGTGTATATATTCCAATAGACTTTGTTAAACTTTTTTAAATAGTGTATTAAACTGGTTTTAAATAGTGTATTAAACTTGTTTTAAATAAAACGTAAAACTAAATTGCATCAATTTTATTAGTATATTAACTTAAACTTTTTAAAATCATTATAAAATTTAGAAGTACAATTCAAAATTTAAGTCTATCAAAACATGATAAACATCTTCGAAACATCAGTAAAAAATAAGTTATGACATTAAATGTTTCTAATAATTATAGTAAATTTCTAATACAAAATTTTTGGTTTAAAATTGAAATAAAAACTAAATTTACCTTAATGAAGTGTTACAAATTTATAAAGGAAAGTAAAAACTTAAGAACGATTACATTGTTCCTGGCTAATTTTAAGTTTATTTAAATAAATACCTATACACACGTAACTGAAAGTAAGGAATTCTAGCATAGGTACTAAAAATATTATTCTGCAAATTAAACTTTATTTAAATATGTACATTTTTCAGCATAATGCATTTCTTTCATATTTTAAATTTTTTACAAAGACGTAATTAAATGTTAATTTACGATTAAGGTTTTCAATATTATTGTACTTAAGTGACAAAGCTATAACAAAAATCATAATATAAAATATGACTTTATACTGTTGCTTCAGTCTACTCTGTCTACTCCGAATTATAAATAATATAAACAAAACACCAAAGAACAGCAATAAATAGATTATAAAAACATCTTCTAATTTAATTTATAAAACTAATATTTATCACATTTTAGATATCAACTTTACTTCAAGTAATAGTGATTCTTAGATTTTAGCTGAAATATTCGAACTTCAGAAAAAACATCCTTTGTATTTGAAACTTGCCTGAATTCACTTGCAATATCAAACACATTTATTCTCTCAGCGATAATAAAAATTATGTATATTGTATAGTGTTTTTTGAGCCCATATTTTAAAATAAAATGTGCACACAAAACACTAATAACCACTCTAGAAAAAAATCTAGTGATTATTTTTTTCTATTTCTTTCGGGAGCATAGAAAATCTAAAAATGTTCACATTCTGGCTATATTTTTTTTTGCACCTTCTTTTGTTCCAGACAACTTATTTTCCTTTCTCTTGTTAATTTTTTTAAGGGCCTTTTGGGAGATATTGTTTTCAGGCCTTAAAAGAGTATAGCCTTTTAAACTCCACATTCTTTTCTTTCTATGGTCAAACAAGATTTATACATTAGAACAAATAAGTAAAATATAAAATGTCGATTGCAATTCTTTAAAACTTTTCTGTACTTATTTGAACTTATCAATTGTATTATCAGCTTATACCAGCTTTAACACTAACAAATAGTTCATTTCTTTAAAAGAAAATTTTTTCCCATCTCCATGCCAGCTCAAATAATGGCCTCTTGAAATTTGTAAAATTTTAATTTTTGGCGCCTTATATATCCGGAACCACAAGTTTTTCCAAATTTCTAAAAACGCAGAAAGCTAATGGTAAATTCCATCACATTAAAAAATGCAATTATTTTTCTTAATTCTCGCAATTAAGCCTTAAAATCGAACATTATGTTAGCCCCTCTTTAAATTAATTTTTTTTTATTTCAAAGACTGCACCATCGTTCATCCTAAATATATGCAATGCTAGAAATAGTTTCGTATATGAATGAAAATATTTTTAATAGTGTGGTAGGTATACATAAACTGTATTTTCACTTGTTGAAGGGAAAAGTGCCACAATACATACCATTGGTTTGACCTAACTTTATTTTCTATTATGCATGCTCAGACATTATTTACCTTTGAGAACTATGTTAATCACATTATCTTAATGTGCTCGTCGCATTAGATACTGTGGCGCAGAATGCCCTAAATATAATACAACAATTGTACTCTATTCTAGTGAGCGGTATAGAACTAAAATTGAATTCAAATTAAACTTTTCATTCAATAAAATAAATTTAAGTAAAAAAAAGTCAAATAAAAAAATTAATTATGCATTTTTTTCTCTTCTTAACTTCTCATATATTATTAATAATTACTTTGTGGTGAGTATTTCAAGATAAGCATTTTAACGTATGATGAAATTAACCAATATTATTTACGCGGATTTAACTAAAAATCTGCTTAGCACTAGATAGACGCCAAAAATATTTGCCAGTGATGTTCATTAACTTAGAATTCTGAGAACATATATTTTTATTTTTTTTTATCAATTTTTAAATAGCTTACTTGTTTATTTATCTTTTTACCGACCGTATTGTGTATACAATAGGTAGGTTATGTGATGGCAACAAATTTTACATACCGATTTTTCGGAATGCACTTCTCCATAGTAGAGAAGTGTAAGTAAACTATTTTTAGCAACCAGTCGGTCCGTCGGTCTGTCGGTCTGTTGGTCCGTCGGTTTGTCGGTCTGTCGGTCTGTCGGTCTATGTATGCACGCGTGTATCTCAAGTTCGGCTGAACCAATTTTGATCAAATTTTATATGTAAGTTTATTTCGCCCATGGCACGAAATGATCAACTTTTGGGATATATCAGGCCTCGGGAGCTGCACTTTTTAGTGGGCCTGTTTTACATTTTTAACCATTTTGAAGAAAATATTCAACCAATTTACTTGAAATTTTATACATAAGCTTCCTTCACTAAACCGACCGCGAAACCTCCTAACGTTTGGAAGAAATCAGGTATCAGCAACTGGACGTTTACTACGGGAAAATATATGCTTTTGCGTATATAAAGAGAAATAGTCAACCGATTTCATTGAAATTTAATATTTGAATTTCTCGTATTAAAACAATGAACATGTAAAGTTTTTGGAAAAATCAGGGCTCGAAACTTGATTTGCGGGCCAATTTTACATTTTTCACCATATCTACAGAAGGAATTGATAGAATTTCTTGAAATTTGATATTTGAGTTCTGGTTGTTACCGAAACTAACTAGCGAACATTTCAGGGTAACACAAAGCGAAATTCTACTAAGAACCAAATTTACATTTTTCTAGATATGTTAACTATGAGCTTACTAGTGTCCTAAAAATTGGAAAAAAGTATTTAACAGACATTTTTATAATATTCTGTAACATCTTCACTTAACTAGACAATATACATTGCGGTCGGTTATGTGCTGACCACATCAGATTTTATAAAATAAAAGAAGCAAATTTATTTTGATTTTTTTGATCAAGGTGTCTCCTTGTGCAATTTCGGTTGATGTCGATAATACAAATTTTGGCACAGTATTAAGTTAGCAAAAATTTTAATTGTATTTTTAGCAACTTGTTTCATTTCTATTTATTTTACTTTAAGCTCAAGTCGATCGAATGAGTCCTTTATGGATAATTTTCAAAAAATTGCTTACTCTCTTAATAAAAAGTACCTCATAAATTGTCTGCTAAATTTCGTTTTAGGGGCAAAAGTACGTAAACTGTGCCGTGGGTTTATTTGGTCCACCTGCAAAATAAAATTTATAATACAAAGGTTAAACCTTTGGTTTGACTAACGTAGTTGCTGCTTAAAAATTTTGGAAGTGTTTAGGAAGAAACAGGAAAATTTAGAAACGTAACGCAATGGAACAAGTAGAAAATAGATATCTTAAAATACAGTTTGAGTTCACTGGAATGGGGCATCAATTAAATGTTAACTGAAAAGTATAATATTCATGAATAAAAACTAAAAAATCTTCTCACACTAACCAAGAAAAGAGCTGTGAAAGAGACTAATATGTAAACTTGTTTTAAATTTCAAATAAAGTGTGAAGTTTAATATCAAAAATAAGCGCAGAAATTTAAAATTTTCCATCACTAATAGCTTGTTAGATGTTTGAAATGTTTTGTTTTATAATATCCAATCTCAACAAAAAATTCATACTTATTTAAATAAATTAAGTTAAAACCTGTAATTTTTCTTTTGTAAATCATCGAAAGACAAAGATGAACCCAAGCTGTCGTAAAATAGTCGGGGACATTAACCTAACCTATAAAGCCCCTTTATGGCCATAAACTCCCAAAACTAGTCAAACTGACTAACCATTAGTTTTACTCTATCCTACTTTTGTGTCTACATTTCGTGAAGAAAGACATGGAAGTCCCGTGACAACACTTTAACCTAAATCGAGAGGTCTCGTTCGTGAGGTCGGTTTTTTATCGAAACCCTCTTTCCTCTATATTTATATTCTGTTCCAAACACGCCCTATATTTTATGGCACAGTTCCTTATTTTTTAGCTTGCTTGGAAATAAGAAACTGTGTCATAAAGCTTGGACCAGATTAGGGAGCACCAACAATATTACGAAAGACCTCGTTCTGGAAAGCTTGTTTTTATTATTTGGTTATAAGGTGCCGTATCAGTGGTTGGCAAGAAAAATTTGACATCAGTACTTTGTCTACCAATTTGAATTTTCAATATTTACCAGAAATTATTTAAACAAAATTAAACATAACAAAATATAAAATATTTTGTTATGTTTGGTTTTGTCTTTAATTTTTCAGGCTATTTTCTTTCTTTCTTTTTCTTTTTTTGTTTGTTTTTCAACCGCTAATTATGTAAATAATAGAAAATATTTCGGTATCTTTGGCAACGTAAACTTGACCTCATTTGTTAAGAAATTTTTAAGGAAAAACGTGAATTAAAATTACATTTTTAAGTGTTTATTTAAATTTTTGAGGTAAAATCAACTTATTTTCAGGCAAATAAAAGAAAATATTTTTTTTTTATTTCATATTTACCAACTTTTTTGTGTTTATATTGCGTTTATATACTTTATTGCATTTATATAATTAAATAAATGGTGGCCAAACATTGTGTCCTCCTCAGTTTCGATATTATTTGTAATTTTCAAGCACACGTAGTCAGCTTATTTTACATAAATTACATAAATAACAAATAAAAAATTAACAATTTGAATAAATTATTTTCAGCATGCCAAACTTAAAAACAAAAAAAAAATATATAAAGGAGAATTTAGTTAATGCGTTAATTGACATAAATAACTGAAATCTCGGAACTAGGGAAAGTGCGAAAAAATATAACATTAATGGGAACTAAATTTAAGAAGAGTAGCCATGGTCCAAGACCAGCCCTTACAACTGAGGAAGAAATTATTCTAACTGAGTGAATTTTGGTAAGTAGTCGAGAAGGGTTTCCATTTCGAAAAGAAAATATTTTAGCTGCGGTAACGGATTTGGTAAAACCACTGGCAGAGAAACAATGATGGTGTGCCAGGAAGAGGTTGGTATGCGCGGCTTTTGAAGCGCTTATCTAATATAACGAAAAGAATTGTTGAAGTTGTGACTTCGGCGTGCTCAAAGGTGTCGAAAAGAAAATAAAAACTCCTGTTTCAGTAACATAAATTAATATTTAAAAGAAGATAATTTTTTAAATATTCTACAACAATCAAAACGAATATTTGAAACGATGAAACAAATTTCTGGTTTTCTGCTAAAACGAAAC